CGAGCTGAGGCAGGAAGGAGGGCGAGCTGAGGTAGGAAGGAGGGCGAGCTGAGGTAGGAAGGAGGGCGAGCTGAGGCAGGCAGGAGGGGGCTGTGAGCCCCGGGCACATGGAGCCAGGGAGGCGAAGTGGAATCAAGGAGTGCCCTGGGAACACAATGGCATTGCGAGAAAGAAGGAACTTGGGACAAGAGGCAGGGGCAGGGCTGGACAGGGAGGAGAGTGGATAATAGGAGAGGAGCGGTACCCACAGGGCATGACCAGGGTGCTATGAAAGGTGGTTCTGGTGGCACATGGTGGGAGCCTGGGTGCTAAGTGGTGCAGGATCTGCAGCACAAAGGGAGAGCAATGGACAGAGCCAAGGGGCAAGGCCATGGAGGAGGGAGCTACAGGGCAGGACAAGCAAAGCTGGGTAAGCTGCAGGCCAGGAGGTGCCGGGGGGTGAGAGTGGGAGATGGACTTGCAAAGGAGGCAGGAGGGGACAAGCATGGGTTGGCATGGGTACGGGGCAGGTGATCTCATATACCATGGAGGGAAATGTGAGAGTAGGGGCATTGGCCTCTGGAGGACCCGCAGGGTGGCCTGCAGCTCATCAGGAAAGCCAGAGGCAATGGGGGCAGTGGGGGACTGGCCAAGAGTCCAGGCCAGGAGAGACCCTGGTCCTGGCCTGGCTCTGCTAAGCAGAGGGGTCCAGCCCAGGCTGGCAACAAGAGGAGGAAGGGCTCGCTGAGGCCAGAGTGGGACCTCCATGACCACCCTGGTCATGCCCTGTGGGTACCACTCCTCTCCTTGTAACCACTCTCCTCCCCGTCCTGCCCTGCCCCTGCCTCCTGTCCCAAGTTCCTTCTATACACTGCTCCACCATTTACATGGGGACTTCATTGTTGAACAAAACAGCCCGTGAAACCTCAGGGGTTGCTATTTTCACACGTCACTGTCCTGGAAACCCAGCACCCAGGAGAGTGTCTGACCTGCAGACGATGAAGAAATGACCAGGAAATGGCCATTCTTTCTCAAAGAGGTGCTCCCAGACCCCAAAGCCACTCTTGTCATTAAATGACATTTTTCAGTGTTTCTGTCCTGTCTTTCCCCTAGATTGTCATCTGGCACCTTTCTGGAAAGGGATGGAGGAGAATGAAAGTGAAACTGGCTAGAAGAGAGGAGACGCCACTAGCTGTTGTCAAATCCCAGCTCCCAGGGAGGCTCTGAGGCCCTCCCTGACCACAGGTGATCCACAGTGGCTCCTCCAGGACAAAAGCACCCCTGCCTGCCCCAGCCCCAGTTACCGGTCCTGGGGTGAGGGGACCCTCTCTCAGACTCCCAGCCACCCCCAGCCTCTTCTCCACCCCCACCCAGGTTGCAAGCCTGACTCACGTTCTTGCCATGGTCCTGGCTGGGCTCTTCTGGGGCCAGCTCACCGATCAGCAGGGGTTTCAAGAACTTGCCCACGAATTTCAGGTCAGGATGGAAGGCGCGGAAGGCATCCTGGAGAGCAGAGGGCAGTGGTGAGGCTGAGACCCGACCTCTGTCTGCTCTCAGGCCCCAAGGAGGACAGTGCTCAACCAGCAGCAGCTCCATGTGTGCACCCAGACACCAAACAGGGTCTCCTGTGATCTGGCCCCAAATGCTGTCTCCAGCATTTTTCCAGGACAGAGCCCTTAGTGCCCAACGCCAACAGCAATAGCCACCTGGACTTCTGCGCCGGCACAGGCATGCTACACTCCCCAGGGGTTTGTGGATAGATGCACAGGCTGCCTTTGGGCAAGTCAGGAAATGGTGACCCTCCAGGAAGGCGCACCAGGAAGACATGGGGCTCAGGGAGGACTTGAGCCTCAACTGTGTGAGCTGAGTGCCTTGCATGGTGCACAAACTGCACCACCCATCACCTCTTGTAAGTTCCTCACCTTCATATCCAGGGTTATCGATGAAAAGAACAAGACCAAATACTACCATGGCATTGGAAATGTGCTCAGATAAAGTAAACAAAAAATAAACACAGAGTTATGTAAAAAGCATTCCTGAAAAAAAGCCTGGGATGATCTAGGCTATTATTGTACATGTTAAGATAGCTGGATTATGCCTTGCTTTATTTTCATTACTTTCCGAACTCTAACACTGCTATAATGATAAACGCTTTAATCTTTTTTTTCCCCAATTATAACGTAAAAATGTGCTGAGTTTTGGTCAAGTTAGAAAAGGCACAGCAGAATAAAGAGGAAAATAAATATCACCCAGAAAGTGATCATTATTGCTAATATGTTAGCAGTTTTCCTTCCAGCTTTTTTCTATACACATTATGCATATTACATTAATTATCTCATAAAAAATCTAGCATTTCTATTAGAGATGAGCTGGCACCAGGCGCGCCTGAGGGGATGCAATAGAATGTCCCAGTGGTGAACACTGTTTAATCTGCATCAAGTCAAGCTTCCAGACATTGGTAGGATTGGCAAACCAGTCAAGCTCCACCATGAGAAACAATCAGAAAAATCAATATAGCTGGGAAAAAAAATACAGGTTTGTGGAAAAAAAAAAAAAGTATGGAAGCATGGTCTAGATTAAAAGAGACTAAAATGATATAAAAACTGCAACTTTTGTTCAGTCGCAGGGGCTCACACCTGTAATCCCAGCACTTTGGGAGGCAGAGGCAGGGGGATCACTTGAGGCCAGGAGTTCAAGACCAGCCTGAGTAACATAGCAAGACCCGTCTCTATAAAAATAAACAAAATTAGCCAGGTGTGGTGACCTGCACCAATAACCCCAGCTACTCAGGAGGCTGAGGCAGGAAGATACAATAAGTAATGATGGTGCCACTGCACTCCAGTCTGGGCAAGAGAGTGAGACCCTGCCTCAAAAAACGAACAGGCCAGGCACAGTGGCTCATGCCTGTAATCCCAGCACTTTGGGAGGCCGAGACAGGGATCACCTGAGGTTAGGAGTTTGAGATCAGCCTGGGCAAAATGGTGATATACCGTCTCTACTAAAAATACAAAAATTAGTCAGGCATGGTGGCGCACGCATGTAATCCCAGCTACTCAGGAGGCTGAGGCACAAGAATCCCTTAAAACCAGGAGACGGAGGTTGCAGTGAGCCAAGATTGCACCACTGCACTCCAGCCTGGGTGACAGAGTGAGACTCTGTCTCAAAAAACAAACAACATCCTGCAATTCTTTAATGTGAAAGGTTCTCACTTGAAGGAAAAAATAAGTTATACAAGGGTTTTCGGGGGTTGAATGAGAAAAAATGAATATGGACCAGATATTCGATCATATCAAGGAATTACTATTAATTTTCTTAAACGTGACAAAGGTACTGTGATTATGTTAGAGCATCTCTTCTTTTTTCTTAGGAAATGATGAAGACCTTACGGATATGATCACATAATGACACAGCTTATTTTCAAAAGGAAACTGCACACGTGTAAAGAGGAAAAACGCGAAGGTGGCAAAATGTTAAGACTAGTGAATCTTGGTTGAGGATACACAGGTGTTTGCTTGCTCTTTCGACATTTCTGAATGTTGGGAAATTTTCAAAATTAAAAAGAAGAGGGGGCTGGGTGCGGTCATCTTAGCACTTTGGGAGTCCAAGGCGGCAGATTGCCTGAGGCCAGGAGTTTGAGACCAGCCTGGCCAACATGGTGAAACCCCGTCTCTACTAAAAATAACAACAAAAAAAAAATTCGCCGGGCGTGGTAGCACACACCTGTAATCCCAGCTACTAGGGAGGTTGAGGCAGGGGAATTGCTTTAACCAGGGAGGTGGCAGGTTGCAGTGAGCCAAGATCATGCCATTGCACTCCAGCCTGCCGACAGAGAGAGACTCCATCTCAAAAAAAAAAAAAAAAAAAAAAAGAAAGGCGTCGTGGGGAGGTGGAGAAAGTGCTAACCACTCCTGGAAATCTTTTCACTCCCACATGTAAGGATCTCCTAAGGGTAACTGCCAGTCTCCCATCATCTCCTTACTACATTCCTGGCATCAAGTCCTTTGCTTGGTCTTTGTTCTATTTGTGTCCAGAACAGACTGACAAAGCAACACTTCGTGCAGGAGAAAACTGGGCCCATGGTTTTTTAAAAAATGCCTACGACCCACTAGCCAAGCAGACAAGGGATAGTAGCAGGGGATCAGGTCAAGTGTACTTTCACGGAAAAGAGATGTGCTGTTCCAGGGCCCTGGGGACGCAGGGAAGAGGCCCAGGGGGCAGGCAGGGAGGAGGCCCTGGGGGGTGAGGAGGGAGGAGGCCCTGGGTGGCGAGGAGGGAGGAGCCCCGGGTTGCAGTGGTGACCAGCTTTGCCGGCTCTGGGGGAGGTGAGCAGTCCCCACCAGAGCCTCAGCCACCTCTGCAAAATAAGCAAGGCCCTGGGAGAGGCCTGGAGGAGCTGCCAAAGTCAGGGCCCAGGGCTGGGCCTGAAAAAGCCCCTTCATTGGTCCTCCTCACATCACACCACAGCCTTTGAGAAATGAACAGGAAGTCCCTGGTAAGGCAGTTTCCTAAGAAGCAGCTGCAGCGGCTGATAACTAATGGATTCCTCTTGTTTCATTGAAAGGCAAGATTCAGTGGCTTACAAATGGACTCATCGCCGCTCCTGCTGCCTCCCCAACACCCGAGACCTGCAGTCCAGGTTCCAGCTCCAAGGGAGCAGACAGATGACAGAGCCCTGCCTTGACCTGGGTTGCTCCTCAGCCATTTCCAGAAGGCTCACGGGCAGCCTCACCTCCCTGAGCCCAGGGGTAATAGGCGTGTGCCAGGCAGGGAGCCAGGAGTGTTGCTCATGTTACTCCCTTAGGCCTCAAGCCCCAACTTTTGAGATGAAGACGCAGGAAGCAAAGTCCTGGGCTCCAAGTGGCAGAGCCAGGATCAAATCCAGGTCCATCTGCCTTTAAGGACTCCTTTCTCACGTGCCACATGCTTCCTGCCATTTCAGAAAATCAAGCAGTCTGTTGGATCGGCTCCTTGCCCATGGTCAATGTGGCAGCTTTCCAAGCAGGCCTGGTGTGGACCACCCTTGAACATACCACGCTCCTTTCCACACCAGGGCCGCCTCCACTCGGGACTCAGCCTCAATATCACCTCCAAGAGGCTTTTCCCAACATCACATCCAAAAGAGCTCTCCCAGCCCTGGGCCTTCCCTGGGTCAATGTGCTATTAGATCTTCATAGCAGTCATCAAGGTTCGTCATCAGACCGTGTGACGTGCCCACTTGTTTATGGCCTGTGTCCCCCGCTGGAGCATAAGCCCCAGTTGGGAAGGCCTGCACCTGTCTTGTTTGCTGCAACAATCCCATTGCCTGGAACGGGGCCTCATAAGATGGCTCACGAGGGAATGAATGGACCCAGGACCCCACAGCTGAACACACTCTGATATCATACTTTTCCACTGTGCAGTCATGATCAGACACTTGTCCTCTTCCGTGTTTCACACAACTTAGCTTCTGCCTCTGGAACACCAAAAGCCTTCTCCGGCATCCCCACGCTGGTGGTTGCTACAGCTGCCACCTGCTGAGGTGACGCAGGCGAGACACGGAGCCCCGGGAGTGGCTTGCATACATCAGCCACGAATCTTTACCAAACTTCGTGAGGCAGGTCCTTTTTTAGAGACAAAAAATGAGGCGTAGGTTGGCAGAGCCACCTGCCCACTATCACACTCAGGGATGAGCTGAGCAGAGTTTGAGTCACATGTGGCTACCTTGAGTGTTATCTGCTGTTCAGACAAAGGCTTCCTTCGACATGAGCATCCTGCTCCCTGAGAGTGGATTATTTTTTGTTTCTCACTTCCCATTGCATAAATGTGTCTCACACGCTGGCAGAAGGTTCCCAGCACCTGCTGGGTTACAGGAATGTCTGGCAGGTATAAGGCAGACCAGGATTCAAGGCAAGGGAGGGCCAACCCAAACATTGTCTTTGGACCAAGAATTGGAACCGCGCTCTATCCTTGTGTAACAGGAGAGAAGCCAGAGACTTTCCAGAAAGAGGACCTGGAACATGGGGAAGAGAAAGGATTGGCAAACAAGTGAAGAAAGCAGAGCTGCACACACCCGGCAGGGCAGGTGTGTGAGGTGGGGATGTCAGAACACCCAGATTCCGAAGTGCATGTCACACTTCGCTCTTTGCCAGTTCCTGCTTCTGCCGTCACCCAGCTCTGATGCCAGTCAACTTCTCCACAGGGATATTTTCCCTGCCCCTGCCCAACTCCAGGTACAACTCACAGTTGCTCGCCATCCACTGAGCACCTGGTGCCAGGATTTGTTTATGGCTGTGCTCATGTCCTCTGCTGAGCAAGGCTAATCTCTGATCGAATGCTGCACAACTGGGCACTTGGCCCAGGACTTGGAAAGTACAGGACGGGCAAGCTCAGGGCATACAGTGCAGTAGGTGGCAGCCCTGCGGACCAGAACTTTACGGAACAAGTGATCTAAGAGTGTGGAGATGCACAGGAGGGACCCTCGCATTCTCCAGTGGAAATGAAGAGCAAGACAGGGACGTTGACTT